CTGTGACCCTGTGGACAGCCCATGCTGGAGCAGGCTTCTGCCCGGACTTGTGGCCCCTTGGAGAGAGGAGACTGTGCTGGAGCAGCCTGTTCCTGAAGGGTTGCATTTGTGGAAAGGACCCATGCTGGAGCAGGGGAAGAGTGTGAGGAGTCATCCCGTAAGAAGGAAGGAGCAGCACAGACAACGTGGGATAAATTGACCACAGCCCCCTGCACCTCGTGGGGGCAAAAAGGTAAAGAAATCAGGAGTGAAGCTGAGCCTAGGAGGACGGGAGGGGTAGGGGGAAAGTGCTGTAAGATTTAGGTTTTATTTCTCATTACCCCACTCCAGTTTGATTAGTAATAAACTGATTTCCCCAAGTCGAGTCTGTTTTGCCTGTGACAATAATTGATGAGTGATCTCTCCCTGCCTTTAGCTCAGGAGCCTTTCATTCTGTTTCCTCTCCCCTGTCCAGCTCAGGAGGGCAGTGACAGAGTTGCTTTGGTGGGCACCTGATGTCCATCCAGGGTCAACCCACCACACGCAGGTTCCCAACTCCTCCTGTTCATTGTTTCCTTTTCCCAGTGGCTCTTTCATGACCATATGCTTTGTACCTGCAGCCAGTTGATACTATTGTGAGGAGGGCACTTCTCCAGCTTCCAGATGTGGTGTTAACTAACTCTTCTAGGAACTGGTTAATCCCTTGTCCCAGAAGGATTTAACAACTGACTGTTGTTTGGGGTGTGGGAAAGACATCCTGCAACTTCTGTTGGTAACACTGGATGCCAGGTAGAGGCACAGAACACCAGAACAACCGTACACTAAAAGCATGACCACCTCAAGCAGAGTTCAGAAGCTCTATATGGGTAGGACCCCCAGTTCATTATATCACAACTGTAAACATGTCCATCCCTGACAGGCAGGACAGATACTTTGGTGAACATAACAGGGGGACAGAAGTTGGCAATAATCTATCTAGTATCTGCCAATCAGAAGCAAAACCCTTGAAATGTCATGATTTTCTATACATAAGCTTCTGTTGCTGATTAGATTTGAAACCAGAGAATTATTTCAAATCTTAGAATTTGCCAGAAAGCAAAAGCGTGGCACCAGTCTGTCTAGAACCTTGTTCATAAACACTGCTGTAAACTCAGTGTAGTTTAGGTTAGATGAATATGAAACAGTCTCTGTTCAGTTATTTGGATTCTGGATGTGGACATATAGAATTTGGCTTAAATATATTTTCCAGAAAAGTTGTAAACTGCTGATGAAGGCAGTGTGCGTATCAAATTTTAAGCTAAATCAGTGTGATTTTTATACACAAACCCATCTCATTGCAGAAAGAAACCCATTAAGGCACAACTAAGATGGTCTTTGTCTCTTTGTGCCTAATGTTTTCACATATAGAGAGGAAAAAAGAGAACTGTCTTCTGCGCATTGATTTTACAGGCAAGAAACACACCCCAAAGTTGTTTAGTTCTATTTTTCTTTCTTCCCTTTCTCTGGGGAGCTTTTGTGCTACCTGTGACAACCAGCGGTGTTTCATGGACATCAGGGTTAAGCAGCACTCAGGCAAGATCCAACTGAGCTCTCACATCTTGCTGTCCAAACAGCAAGACCCTTAGCTATGGAGCTACAGGGGAAAAAAGGCCTTCCAACTTGGCAGTGGGATTAATGTTTGTTTATCCCTTAATCCTAAAGCAGGCTTGCGGCAATTAGAAAGAGATTCGCACACACTCATCCAAAGATACTGCTGCTTTATTATCTATATACCTTACTTTATTTTATATGCACCCTATTCCTCTGTGATTCAGTGACCTACAGAAAATGGCCTGCTTGTTTCTGTAAAAATTAACATAAGCAAAAAAGTTACCTTTTTTTTTGGTACAGATAATGGATAATTTACGAACTTTACCTCTGTCTTTACCTTTTTTATCTACCAACCACATCCAAACACCTAAATGACCGGTATTCTTGGGCTTCACGTTTGTGGCGTTATTTCAAGCAGTCTGCACAGTTCCTGTGGCTGACTGAGATGTCATCTAGCAAAAGTCTGCTTAGGAGGGTATCATGGTCGCTACAATAGGTTATTAAAAATGTATTTAAACTCTTTAAAGCTTATTGATGATTACATCAGACTGGTCTTTTCTAGAGTCCACTCAGATAGCCAGTTCCTCTGCTGCTTGGTTCCCCAAAACCTATGGCTGACAGCAGATCCACTGCTCATTTCATAAGCACATATGGTACATGACTGTTCATTTCCACTGGTGTGTGCCGGTTCATAGGGTTATGTGGTGGAAGCACAGGAGGCTGCTGAAGAGAGCAAGCACGCTACTGCTGCATGCTGCACAAAACCACTTCTGAGAATGAAATATTCTGTTCAAGTCACTTAAAAAGCAAGCCAATACTCCCAGCCATCAGCAAGGACAAAAATAGGGTATGTAACCCATTCTTTATTTATGTGCATTCCAGTGCATTTTTGCTGGGGGTGTGGAAAGGGGAATGGCAAGTGCTTTCCAACTTTCCATGGCAGAATTGTGACTCCAACTTCTTTCCTGTCTTGTGTACATTGAAAAGGACACAGTCTTAGTCCTCCTCTCCAGCTACTTCAGGCCCTGCTTACTGGCAGCCTCTGTGGATGTCCTAGGGAATACACAGGCTCTACTACGACATCCATTCTCAGGTACTGCCAGTTCCATTACTCTTTTGCTGCACTAGTGGAGGTTCCTAGGTGATTTAAAACCAAGTTAACAAAAGTGAGTTTAAAAAGTTAATAAAATAGTGTCGGCCAGTTCCAGATGACTCTTAAGTATTTGCATCAGCCTCCCCTGATCCAGGCACACACTTCCCCAGGAGGCTGAGACCAGAGCTAGGGTATTTTCATTCTGCATGCACTTGCTTGCTGATTTTAGATCTAGATAGAATATCCACCCCGTGTTGCAAAAGTTCTTCCCATTGCTCAGAAACATACCCTGCTTAGGACTTCCCATCCCAAAAGCATTTGCTGCATTTTTCCTCCCCTTCCTCCTTTCCCCCTTCCCTTTAATGTTTTTCCCTTCTGACGTCAACATAGTAGAAGGAAACAAAATCTCCCGTGATCAGCTCTGGTTGTCTAAACTTCATTGCTCTGATTTTCAACAATGAATGAGGCATTTACACGTTCTTTCATCTCTACGTCCATGCACAGGCATAGAATCATAGAATGGTTTGGGGTGGAAAGGACCTTAAAGCTCATCCAGTTCCAACCCCCTGCCATGGCCAGGGACACCTCACACTAGACCATGTCACCCAAGGCTCTGTCCAACCTGGCCTTGAACACTGCCAGGGATGGAGCATTCACCACTTCTCTGGGCACGCTGTGCCAGTGCCTCACCACCCTCACAGTAAAGAACTTCTTCCTTACATCTAACCTGAACTTCCTGAATGGGATGATGGTAATTTTGTGGGAAGAGTATTCTTCCCCAAAGCTTTTAGGTGCTAATGTACAATGGTGATGGACTGTATAAGATGCTACATGGAGGGATTCTGTTAAATTAAAAGTATTTGCTGTCCTCATGGTAGCAGTAAGAGGCATTACTTGCTGCCAGCATCCTTCTCTACTCATGGAAGGCCAGGTTTTTGGGAAAAGGTAGTGACTTACACAGAAGAAACTGAGGGAGCAAAGAGTTTACAAATGAACCTTGTCACCAAACCAGAACAGAGGTGATGTGTAACAACTGTTAAGAGACTGCTAAAGAATTCTTTAACTTACAAGAGCATGAAAAAGCAGATAAGTGTAAAAAGCAAAGGTGGCTTGAAATATTTCACCATTTACTTATTTTCTAAGATAAAAAACAAACCTACATTTCAAAATTTACTACCAGTGTTTCCTAATTCTTCCACCTCAATCATTTTGAGCTCCGTCCCTCCGAGAGCAGGGGGAGGGCAAGAAAGGGGGGGAAGTGAGTGAACGAATTACCTGACTGGGTTTAAACCACGACATGGTGGTAGGTTGACACATGTCTATTAAATTTTTACTTCCAAAGTACTTTCTGTTTGTCACTGCTTCTGGTGATGCTGTGATTTTGCCCATACTTTAACAACCAGCCACTGTATTGAGCAAACACAAGGAATGGAAATGTAACCATCTGAAAGACAAATGTAATTTAAAACTCTTTGTGCTAAACAACTTGTGTTATGGTGTCAACAAGAACCTTTGTAATAGCTAACAAACAGTGAAATGAAACCTGGTGTCTTGTTTTCATGGTTCAAGCAAGGAGAAAAGCAAAAATTAAACAAGATCTTAAATTATCTGCTCTATGTTCAGTTGTGTCTTTTTCAATAACCTACAATGTTCTGTAGTCAGAAAGACAAACATATCATTTACTGCTTATACTGTCCCATTTTAACAGTGCATGCTAGGTAGAAGAGGGTAGAAAACACAGTTATTTTCCAGAACTAGGAATTGTTCCCCACAGATACAGTTAAAACCTCTTAACAGAATTTTGATACTCACTATCTGCAATCTGCTTTTCTTTGCAGCACATCCTATACTTTTTAGTGAGGCAAAATGTGAATGAAATTCAAATGCCAGGACTTCATAATTCAGCATTCTGACCTATATTCGTAATCTCTTTTACTTTCAAGAATCAGATCCTGTCCCAAGCCCATGAAATTGTCTTAAAAAATGACAAGATTCCTATTTAAGCTGCAAGGTATATGTGTGTCCCACTTGGTGTTTGAGGTGGAAATCTGTAGGCTCACCCTCGTAGTCACAGCTGTTACAAGTGAAGGTTTTAGTATAACCGTATGACCTTAAGAACATCACCAAGAATATTAGGTACAGTGAGATTGTGTCAGTTACGAGATGATGGTATTATAATATCCTTGTACTTCTTCTTTAGCAGATAGAAAGAGCTGGCCAGTTCTTTCACCTGGTATATGCAATGGGATTATCATAGTGGTTTCTACTGTCATACTTTTTCATTTCCAGAAATCACTCTCTATGATGGCAACAAGCATAAGATTATTTTAGTTCAAGTGCAATGTTCTGCATCGAATTTGGTACTTGTGCTTTAAAGAAGCAGTGTGTAATGATACTACTACTGCTACTACTACTACTACTACTAATAGCAGGCTTTACCTCTGTTTAACTACTGTCTCAAAGCCCAACTTTTCTCCTCTCTGAAGTAGATTTACTTTGCAGACGTTAGATGGCCATTGAGGGTTTGGTTCCAGAAGGATTTACACTTAGGATTTTTAAGCAGATTGTGCTGGAGGTCACAAAAATTCTTCAACTGGGTTGTCATTTCATTCCATTCCAGTAAGTGCTTTTTAAAAGGCAGAGGCAGATGGTTGCAATCTTAGTTAGCAAGGGTTTTCTTAACTGCAGTGCACAAACAGCTACTTGAGGGCTAAAAATTTGCCCTAATAATTTATAGTTCAGGAAATTTACTTTTTCATAAGCCAATTCCAGATTGCAGGGTTAACCCGAGGCTCCAGGAGCTCTGAAAGAGTCCCCCTTTTAAACGTTCATGGCTATTAGGACAGCAATCTGAACTCCAAATAGCACATCTGCCCTCACAAAGGGAATGCTCAGGGAAAGAGCTCTTTTGGGATGACTGGGTGACTGCACTGTACTTTGGTAATCCAAACTGTTAAACCTGTTTGGATAACTGGTTAAGGAATAAAGCTGACACACCAGCATTATCAGTTTCATGACACAAATTAAATAGCTAGGCCAAGATTTTCACGCTTACCTAGTTGGTGTTTGGTGCTGCCCTTAAGGTACATAAAGGAGGGTCACTGTTGAGGTTGTAGGAGGTGCTTGCGTCTCTTCGGGACCCATCTTCTGACCAGCCAGCCCATCAGGTGATGCCTGTTAGACTTCAGAGAAAGGATAAATGCCAAATCACTAGTAATTTTTAGTGTGACATTAGTCTTTCATTCTAAAACTGTTAAAAACATGCTCTGCAACTTACTGCATAGATAAATAGCCAACTACAGAATTAATGCTTACTATTTTCACTTTTTTCACATAGGTCCATGATGTTATGTCAACTGCTAGTACTTGTCTTTGGAATATCACTAGCTAGTGATGTATATGCATTTAGAAGCTGTTATTCAGAAGCCCAAGTCTCCGTATATTATTATTGCAACCTCACAGATATTCCAACTGTGCCAAAGGATACAGTGAAGCTTTTGCTAACTTTCAACTATATCACACAAGTGACTGCAACTTCATTTCCACTGCTGGAGCACTTGTTTCTGTTGGAAATCGGAATGCAGTATGTCTATCCTGTTACCATAGGAAAAGAAGCTTTCAGGAACCTGCCAAACCTTCGTATCTTAGACTTGGGTTACAACAGCATTCTTCAACTGGATATTGATGCTTTTGTGGGCTTGCCAAGCCTGGCTGTACTCCGTCTGTTTCAGAACAACCTTGGAGATTCCATCCTGGAGGAACATTACTTTCAAGATTTGAGCTCATTAGAAGAATTGGATCTTTCAGGGAACCAGATCACAAAACTTCAGCCTCATCCCTTGTTTTATAATCTGACAGCCTTGAAAACTGTGAACCTGAAATTCAACCCGATTTCCAACCTGTGTGAGAGCAATCTGACCAGCTTCCGAGGAAAACACTTCTTATTTTTTAGCCTCAATTCAAATTACTTGTACAAGACAGATGAAACAACCTGGGCCAAATGCCCAAATCCTTTCAGCAATATCACGTTTACCTCACTAGACCTTGGTGTCAATGGCTGGAGCACAGAGAAAGTCCAAGCTTTCTCTTCAGCCATTAAAGGGACGCAAATAGGTTCTTTAATATTTAGCTTTCATATAATGGGTTCTGGATTTGGCTTTAGTAACTTAAAAAACCCAGATCAGGATACGTTTGCAGGACTAGCAAGAAGTGATCTCCGTTTGCTTGATATTTCAAATGGTTACATTTTCTCTCTGAAATCTTTAATCTTTCAAAGCCTTGGTAGTCTGGAATCACTGAACCTGTTCAAAAACAAGATAAACGAAATCCAAAGGCAAGCATTTTTTGGCTTGAGAAACCTAAAAACTCTCAATCTCTCAAGTAATCTTTTAGGCGAGTTGTACGATTATACTTTTACAGGCCTACGTAGTGTCATGTATATTGATCTACAGCAAAATCATATTGGGATTATTCAAGAAAAATCATTCAGTAACTTAGTAAGTCTGAAAATAATTGATCTTCGAGACAATGCCATTAAAAAGCTCCCTTCCTTTCCACATCTGACCTCTGCTTTTTTAGGTGACAATAAACTAATGTCCATAGCTGGCAAAACACTAGCAGCAACATACCTGGAATTAGAAAGAAATTGGTTGGCAAACCTGGGTGACCTGTACATCCTTTTCAAAGTTCCAGATGTGCAGTATATCTTCTTAAAACAGAATCGCTTCTCCTATTGTGTGAAAAATGATAACGTTATAAAAAACAAACAGTTAATCTATATGGATCTAGGTGAAAATATGTTACAGCTCGTTTGGGAGAGAGATTTATGTTTGGATGTGTTCCATGGACTGTCCAAACTTCAAGTTCTGCATCTGAATAACAACTACCTTAGTGCTCTTCCACAGGAGGTTTTTAGAGGTTTAACATCCCTAAAAAGACTTAATCTAGCTTCCAACCTATTGTCTCATCTTTCTCCTGGGATTTTCCCACAAAGCCTAACAAACCTAAACTTATCTGGAAACCAGCTTTTTTCCCCTGATCCTGAAGTCTTTATGACTTTGAGTATTTTGGATATAACACATAATAACTATGTTTGTGACTGTACTTTAAAAAGCCTACTAGTGTGGCTAAATGAAACCAACGTAACCCTAGCTGGCTCAGAGTCTGACAGGTACTGTGTATACCCACCTGCATTTGCAGGGGTACCACTGTCATCTCTGACATATGATGATTGCAGTGAAGATGAACTCCAGCAGACACTCAGATTCTCATTATTTGTCTTCACCTCTGTCACTCTTCTAATGTTTCTGATGGCAGTCATCATTTTTACTCGCTGCCGGGGTATTTGTTTTGTCTGGTATAAAACTATAACCAAAAAAGTGATAGATAGGCATCCAAAAGTAGCAGATAAAAGCGAATACAAATATGATGCGTATTTGTGCTACAGCAAAAATGACTTTGAATGGGTCCAGAATTCTTTGCTGAAGCACTTGGATTCACAGTATTTTGATAAAAACAGATTTACCTTGTGCTTTGAGGAAAGAGATTTCTTGCCTGGGGAAGAACATATCAACAATATTCGGGATGCCATTTGGAACAGCAGGAAAACAATTTGCATTGTGACCAGGCAGTTTCTCAAAGATGGGTGGTGTGTGGAAGCCTTTAATTTTGCCCAGAGCAGGTACTTTTCTGATCTGAAGGATGTCCTCATTATGGTAGTGGTTGGGTCCCTTTCTCAATATCAGCTGATGAAACACAAACCAATTCGAAACTTCTTACAAAGGAGTCAGTATCTGCGGTGGCCTGAAGATTATCAAGATGTGGACTGGTTTTTAAATAACCTTTCTTGCCAAATTCTGAAGGAAAAGAAAGTGCAAAAGAAAGGCAATGGTATAGAGCTGCAGACTGTAGCAACACTCTCACATTGATAGTGTGTGGGTCACTGGCTTATTAAATAGCCCATTTCAAGCTGTGCCATGGCAGGAATAAACAGAAGTTGGCTTCATCTTTCCTTGGAAAAGCAGGCAGAAAGATAACTGTTTCAGTATAAATCCTACTAAACATGGAGACTGCTTGAAAGCAGTCAGCAAATATGTGAAGGTGCAATTGTTTTATGGGCTATGACCCACGTTTTCAGGAGAATGAAATGAATCACAGATGCTTCACATTCTGGATGCTCAGCTTCAGACACTAAAGAATGCAGATTTACTTACTGACAGGTCTGTTTCAGTTAGAGAAGGTGGTTGTTTTAAATAGAGTCCACGGTACTGTACAGGAGTGACCAAGTATGCTTTCATGTATGGCCTAGCCAGACCATGGGTTCACGGCTTACTCCTTTCTAAACTCAGTAACTTTTCATGCTCTGTTTCAAAGTAGAACCAGTGCTTTGCACCTTTATACTTTAAATGGGTGTAACACATTTCATTTATTTACCTACACAATTAGCCTCAGCTTCCCAACTGGAACGTACAAACTCTGAACTTCGTTCATCTCCTTCCCCTCCACAACTTCTCTGCTTGGTAGTAAAACGAGGGTCATCAGTCTACTTCACTTATTGCTGTTCCAGCCCAGTGCTTTTTCAGTTGTGCTGCCTCCTGCCTTGCAGAGAGGAGCAGGTATCCCCAAAGAGCTGAAGCAAGGCTGAGCTTGAAAAGCAAGCAAGAAACTACCTCAACAGCCATGAGGGCTATACACCGGTGACATGGCCGATAGCTCAGCGACTGCCTGACACCTTTCACACACCCTGGGAGGGGAAAGCACAGACAAGTGGTGTGTAATTTGGGTTGTTCATCCTGTGTCCTGATCAGTTCTATAAGGTGGGGGGTTTTTTGCTTCTGTTGATCTATTTTTCATTATTTCCTGGTACCTCTCTGATCATTTTAGCACTGTTTGTTCAGGTATCTGCCTCCAGGAAGTTGTTCAGGGTCATTTTAATAAAAGCCTGTCTTTGTGTTCACTGTTACAGAACCTTCACCTCTCATTTCAACAGTCACATGCTCCTTGAGTGTGCTGCTCAGCTCAGTTTATACTTTTATTTAACTAAAGTTTACCAAAGTAATTCCAGTATGGCCTCAGTGAGTTTTTCACTCTAGTGAGGAAGCAGGAATGGGAGGTTTTATAAGCTGACCTTAGCTGCAAACAAATAATACTATCTTAACTATTTTGATGGAAATGGAAACATAAAATCCACTTAACGTAAATAGAGTTGTTTGAATATAGATGAGCCTCTGGCAGATCTAATTTTCTCCCAGTGCCCCAGTAGACAGGATTTCTATAGATAAAATTACTACAGTAAAATATTGCTTCCTTCTCAATTAGGGTAGTCGTTCAGACACAGAAAAGGGCTAAACCTCGTAAAGTTTTCCAGGCAGCACGGGGTGTGGGGAAGCAGATTCAAGTGGGATTGACTGTGCTGGTGCGGCCCTGGGTGTCGCTGTTGGCTCAGGTAACAGCTAGGGCTCCCTAAAATCCTCCTGCCTCCAGTCCCCTGCAGCTGCTGGCATTAGGTACAAAATGCTGCTGCAGAGGGAGGTCCGAAGAAGAACCAGCAGCCCCGACCTCCCACAGCCCCCTTGGGCTGTCAGAAAAGTCAGAACCTGCATTTCAAGACCATGAAAATGTCCAATCTTTTTCCTTTTGTCCCCAACCAGTGCAAATATCTATAGGCATCCTTTAACGCCAGAGGTTAGACTGGGAGTATTAGAATAAAAACCATGGACAGATAGGCAAAGCAGAACGGATCTGTACAACAAAGTCCATGTGCAAGACTAGGCTGTTAGAGTATGGATCTGTGCGTGGTGTAGGAGATGGGGATTTTAAAAGCGTGCTTGAGAAATGGTATTTGAATGAATGTCACAAAGCATTTTTGGTCAAGTGTTGACTGAGAGCCCTCTCCAGTTAGGACCTTATTGTATACTTATAAGACATTCCTGTATCACTTCAGATACTTCTGCTAGCCTATGCATGCAGGAATGACAAGCGGATGCATAAATTACTGAGATGGCTTTAATCAAGGCTTTTCCATTTTGTTTGACATGCTCCTGTCTACTTCATGCTTATGCCACTGGTGGGAGGTGGCTACATAAACCTTGCATTGAACTTCTGTCTTTGGAAAGGTCTGGCTTTTTACATGGAGGTTGTAATAAAACCTTTGGATGAAATTTCATCCTCTGCCTGCTCCCTTTCCATTTTGGAAACTTAAAGAGATCAAACCTGTGTCAGGAGCAGCTGGGAAAACTTTCTACCACAGAGGCAGCTTAGAAACACAGAGGTAGCCCAGCCCCGTCTTGCAAATTGTATTGGAAGGGGTCTACAAAAGCCAGTAAAGGCATTTTTGAAGAGCATATGAATAACTGCAGTGGCAAATTTCTAAAAGATCCAAAATAACTTTCTTTTGTACTCACTGTGAAAGCACTCCAAGCCTCTCAGAACAAATGCAGTTGGTACAGTCTGTCCTATGCAATGAAAAATTGCCTTCAAATAGATCACAGGACCTTGATCACCACCTCTGTAGAGTCACCTGTTCTTAAATGATAGAGCCTGGGGAATTGTCAAGAAAGAGCTTACGCAGACTTTATACTCCTCTGCTCAGCAGGAACCACAAAAGCATCCTGTACAGAAATGGAGCATGACTATGCTTGATGAATTAAGGCCATAAATTGAGCCTCAACCTCATAACTATTGATCAGATTCCCTTCAGGCTCACTAGGAACATTACTGCTCTATTAGAATTTTATGGCTCCTTAGTTAAGGATACTCTCATCAGTTTTACTCACCTTCCTCAGTGAAAGGCATTAACTTGTTGGAGAGTGTCCAGAATAGGGTGTGAAGTGTGGCACTGGATCTAAAGCAAGCTATTAAGACGGAAGCGGGTGAATTTATTTGCAGCAGCAGCACAGGGAATATTCAGAGGACAGGGACTCAGTGCCCCATGGTATCAGCTCAGATATTTAACTGTAAAAGACTACCCTCACCATTGAAACATGTATTATAAACACTAGCTGGTCAAGCAGGCAGTGTGGTTCAACAGCAACACCTAGCCAGTCCAAGAGTCCAAAGTTTGCATGGGCTCCTACTCAAAACACTTAGGATCAGAACACAGATTCCACAAACATCTTCCTATGGAGGCCAACAACAATAGGCCCAAATACTATTTCACATGTTACATGATTATTATTTCATGTACAGTGAAATCAGGCTTCTCCTTTCTCCTCCCATCTGACATGCATATGAGTCCCAGAAAGTGTTGTTCAATTATATTTGCTAATCCCAATTGCTAATCCCTCCTCAGAGAGACTGTTCCACATGCTGGTAAATATATCACCTTATTAATTCACAGTTAGTATCCATCATTGCTTCCATAGTACAATAGCTGTACTACCTGCGTGGAGAACACTAGCACAGATAAGCCTACAGAATGTTCGGTCTCTCAGGGGAGACACTCCTACATATGTTGCTTAGAATCACTCTGCCTTTGCCTTTTTTGTGTCACATCATTAACTCAGCTAATTTACTGACTTCTGGGTCTTTTTCAGCATGACAGCTCTCCTACTTCTCACTGCCAGAGACCATCTGGGTTTCAGATTATTGGATCCCACCTTCTCAATTTCATGTGGTGCTGATTATTTTACAATGGCTTTAATGTGTTCTCTTCTTACTGGAACTGTGAATAGCAGCAGTCCAGTTAAATCACAAAGCAAGGCTCATATCTGGCAAAATACTTACAGATGACGAGCTGTACGCAGCTGAGTGGCAGGAGTGAGTGGTGAAGACACTGCAGATGGAGCAGAAACAGCACATGCCCATCTCTGGGAAAGCAGCAAAGTTAGGAAGGCTACACATGGTGGTCTAAGCATCTTGGCATCCAAAGGGAACTTGGGCTCCATGAGAAGTGGAAACCCAGAGCAAACAAAGAACAAGATGCACCTTTAAGGTCTGACTCTACAAATGTAACCAAATATAATGCCCTAGTACAGTAAGCAGAGTTAACTTAAAATAGGGCTAGGAGTAGCAAATACTTGCAAGGTTTCTTTGCACTGTGCAGTACTGCCAACAGCAAGCATGCAGTGCTGTAAAATAAGGCTTCCAAAATCAGAACAGTGGTGTTAAAAATCCAAAAGATTAGAAAAAAGAAAGAATTATAAATGTCTGGTATTTGACCCTGTAAGACCATGTTTTGACACCTTCTCCATGCTCATAAGAAGGTGGATATTCATGCAGTTCATGAATACAAGAGCCAAGGCCTTAAGAAATAAACCAAGTCTCAGGGGAGAATTGCAGTCTTCCTATACATAAAGGGGCCTACAAGAAATCTGAGAGGGGCTTTTAATAAGGGCCTGTAGAGATAGGACAAGGGGAAATGGCTTTAAGCTCAAAGAGGGGAGATTTAGATTAGATATTTAGAAGAGGTTCTTCACTATGTGGGTGGTGAGACACTTGGCATAGGTTGCCCAGGTAAGCTGTGATAGGAGAGAAGCTGAAGGAGAAGCGACAATAGGAACGCTTCCCAGAAAGATTTATATACATCAGCAGCTCTTACAAGGCCTCTGCTGGTAGTTATTCAATTAGGCTGTTTGTCAGTCTCCCAGAAGGTATCGGACACCTTTGGGATGCCAAACAGCTCATTCTGCTTTTGGGTACAAACACTTTCACACACAGCTTTCAGTTACCAGTTTTCTGTTTGTTTCCATACAAAGATGAACTGAGCATCTTGGTCTCAGTCCCACCATGTTGCCCCTTGCAGGCATCAAAGATTCCACATACCTGGAACAGAACTGCAGTATTTCCTTCAACTAAAGCTGCAAAAGCAAAGTTTAGAAGCTGAGGTTTACCCAGAAGGCCACTGTGAGCACTGACCTGAACCACAGGGAATACAGGATGCTAAGCAGGTACCAGAAACTTCTGTGCACTTACTGTAGGGCCAATCCAACTCCTGCATGACTCCTTCCTGCTGTCTGTGCAGATTGACAGGAGGCTTCTCTTCCCTTTCTGACCTTAACTTTACTCTCTGCATCGTGTATGTACAGTGTAGTGTGTGCCAAAAATAGGTCTACATTTCCTCTCCCGATATGCGAAAGTCAGTATATAGGTATGACATGAGTTATTTCATAGTGCAAAGACTATCTATTCATAGCAGACTCTGTTTCAGACGTGGTTTTCCTTCCTTTTAGATAGCCTATTGTTTGCCTTTTCAATTTGTATTAAAAATAAAATCTTTGAAAACTGCAAGTAAGAGAGAAAAATCTATTTCTTCTGAAACTAACAATACTCCAAACAGGAAGGTGAGGCTTCTTCCTGTTTAGACACTATGTTCAAAGAAAGGAAGTTGGGATTTTCAGTGATAATAATAATAATTACGTGGTATGTAAACATCAGTAAGTATCAAAGAAGACTTCACTCTTTATTCAGTGTGTCCCAAATACTACAATGCTGTTTTTAGAGTATCCTTAACAGTTCACCAGCCTCTTGCAAAAATGGATTCATGGGCAATCACTGCACAGGTTGATCACCTGTATGAACATTTGCATAGTGTAAGAACAGCATTATCAAGCTTCCTCGAGCCTGCATGGAGAGCAGTGATGGAGAGGGGTGGAGCAAACAGAGAATCCTCATACAAAACAACAGTTTGATAGGGCAGGGGGTTTTCTGCACTAGGATGGCACATACCAGGTTGTGTGACCTTTTCACATTACCACCCAAAGCTAAGTACTTCAAGCCATGAAGCCTGAAGGAGCAGCTGACACTGCTCCTAAAAGCTGAATTGGCAAGGTAATTTTAGCACTGTGATTCGATGCAATATCAAAACATAGATATTTGGTACATGTGTAGTAATAGTAAAATTAATAATCGTGAAACTAGAAGTGCTTTATAAAGATACGTGCATTTTATTACCTTCTCTTTAAAGAGGGAGGAATTGAGGAAGAGAGAATGAAGTGTCACAACTTTTGTCATGGGCAGCACTAAGAAGA